AAACGTTGGTGAACTTCCACCAAACTTGACGTCATTACATCCCGGAAGTGATAGTATTACTCGCTGTGGGAAACTCAAATCCAGCAAACGAAAGCAAAATAGATCATATTAACGCACAACGCAGTGAAACTGAAATTTTTAGCTTGAAGTGAAATTTTATTATGAATTGTTTAATTTTCTCACCAAAAAAAGGTAAAAGAGATAAATCTATCCATCTAACAGGCAGTGGAGGCCCAAATCGAGAAGTGAGAAGTCGAGGCTCCCACATTTTCTAGACAGTCAGTTTACAGATNATAGCGGTGAGGTCAGCCTTACGCGCCGGCCACCCTTTACCCCTAGGAAGATTCCTGGTACTCATTTCTATAAGAGGCTGAATCGGCCCCACGGCCATAGTGCGGCTGGAAGGATTAGGTCAAGAATCCAATGACCTCATCGGGAATCGAACCCGCGTCATTCTGGCTTGTAGGACAGTGCCTCCACCAACTACGCTGCCGTCACCTCTCTGTAAAACAGCAGTGACTAACAAAATGTTACACTGAACCTTGGACTTACTCATGATAGAGCAATGAACATTCAGGAATCTGTGGACTAGTGGAGTGGCTATTACTTTTCAAGCACTACTCATGGAGATCGCCGGTCACTGTGGCCGAGCGATCCAAGTCATTTACTGTCTTCGCCCACTCGGAAGCCGAGATCATGTGTTCGAATCCCACACAAGGCATGTATGTTTGGTATGTGCATGTGTTTATTCTGTGTTTGTGTTGTCCTGTGGATAGATAGAGGCCTTGTGACGGGCTGATCACCCCTCCAAGGGGTCCTACCGTCTGTAAAATGATAACGAAACTGAGAAATCAGCTCTACTCTCCAAACTGAAAGCAAGAGAAGAGAGAGAGACTAATGGAATTCAGTTCAATGAAATGGTATAAAGGCAATATTGTACCTGTGTTCAGTCTATTAAGCATCACACCATGAAGACCTACGGGGAAATGGAAGTAGATCTCCACCATCCTTGACTTCGACCCTAGATTGGAGATGAGTGATGAGCTTCGCGCCACGGGTCGCTCTACTCACGGCATCCGTTAGATAGTAAGCTGGGTGGGCACCGTAGCCGGTCTGGACGATGTGGAGTAAAGAAAATTTCTTTCCCATGCCAGGAATAAAAAAAACAGGCCGGCCACCCCGTAGCCCATCACTATAAGGACTGAGCTGTCATAGATCCTATCAGTTCAATGAAGTTAGTTACTAATCATAATTTTAAATGGACAATGTATTTGTAGCATGCCCAGAAACAGAAGGCTTAGCCAAAATCAAAACACAGTTTAATGCAGTATTTTTAAAATTACTACATTTAATGGAACGTGACCTATTTTATCTAAATTATTTGTATGAAAGTCTTCAGTACTAAAACTATCCAATGAATATGAAATTTCAGGAGTGGTATTTCAGTATAGACGACCATATCTGTGTAACTCTTCACGTACAAGTGACAAATCAATAGTGTTACGAAGTTCGCCAGCTTCAGCACTTCACTCGAGAGCAATCCTGGACTAAAAGCACTGGTTACACGCAAGCACTGTATGACCTAAATAAGTCAGATTCCACTCCTGCCTTCTACAATGCTGAACACGGAACACAGACAATGAAACGGAAAAGGGTGCTCCGAGCAGGCTCACACACATCCCCACCCCCCGCTTATTCCAGCAGATCTGTCCTTTTTTGTTATTATTTTATTTTACGTTTATGAAAAGCTGAAGTGAAGGAGAATGAAATTGGCAGGTCATGTAACGCTCATGGGAAATATATATAGGATTTTTTTTGGAAAGCCAGAAGAATAAAAGATCACTAGGAGGACATAGACGTAGGTTGGAGTAAAGTAAAATAGGTCTTAGAGAAACAGGATGGGGTGGTATGGACTGGATTGATCTGACTTAGGATAGGGTCCAGTGGAAGGTTCTTGTTAACAAGATAATGAACTTTCGGGTTCCATATAACATTTGGAAATTCTTGCGTAGCTGAGCGATTGGCGATTTCCGAAGAAGGACTCAGCTCCATGGATCTGGGTGGTCCGTTAGTTATTTTTTTTTAATTCGCATAGAGGGGGAGGTAGAGTCCAGTTTGGTCCACTCGCCACAGCGGCCACTGCTTGGCCTATTGTACCTTCCCCGGGTGATTATGATGACGGAGAATTTGGCGAAATGGAGATTGGCAGGGGAAACCGAAGTACTCGGAGAAAACCTACCGCAGCGCCACTTTGTCCACCAAAAATCCCACTTGAGCAGACCCTGGTTTGAATCCGGGCCGCCGTGGTAGTGCGTTAGTTAGTCAGAAAAGCTTATTGTTTAAGTACATGAACTCTGTTGGTTACAGCGTAAATTATCTGAATCGTAGCCATGTTGAATGAATTAATATATAAGGGGTGGGCTTTCTCGGTCCTTGCACCTACAGTGATCTGTTGTGCTTTCGTAGCCATGATTGTAATTATTGACTTACAGACAGTATGTCATACAAAATTTATAGGATGTAGGAGTGTTTACGATCCATCTCTATACCGTATGTCACGTGCCTATTTTCAGTGGTTCTTTAGTGATCGTCATCACAACGAAGAGAAACAGAAAATTTTCGCTTTGTCGTTATGTTACTGCACTATATTCTACGAAAATATTACTTTGACAAAACTTCATGTTTTTCCAAGATTCATCAACGCACATAATTTCGGAGCCCTACAAAAGTGATACCAGTGTCGCTATCACCTAACTTTGTATGCTTGTTCTTAGAAACCCAACCTTCCGACCTTTTGTGGCATGACGTTTATACCAAATTTCGTGAAATCGTTAAAGTGGCTCAGATGTTGAAGTAGGAGGACACAGACAGCACGTTGATCTCATAAGCCTAGATTTTATCATTTTGTAGGAGTCAGTGAGGTTAAGCGTATGGAAGTTGTCTCCGTGTGTCAGATCGATTTTAAATTTTTGAACTTTTCATAGTATAGGTTATAATTTCGTTCATTTTATTATTGTGCTAGTTTTTATGTTGATATCACGCACTGATGATAGACCTAGAGACTGGTATTACAGAGAGAGAAGTAATTTAAATTGAGAATTAAACGTGTGGAAGAGCATGTAGTGATTTTGGCGGGTCTCACCTAGAAATGCCAGCGCCTATCCACTTCTGAGGTGGGCGTATAAAACTAGAGAGCGCTTTCTGGCACTCGAGCTTCGAGGTCAATAGCGACTTTCCTTCCGATGTGACGTCTGAGTAGACTACAAGAAGCCAACTGTGGATCGAACTCAACAGCTCTGCGCCTTTCGCCATGGTAATCGAGAAACCATTTTGCTGGATCGCTTTACGACGCTGTTAGTAGCTAGATTATATAGCGTCAGACGGTACAATGATTTGGGAGGAAGTGGTTATGTCCTAAATCGTTTTCCTATGCAGTGTAAGGAAAACAACGAATAACTTCATTCAAGGTAGCCATGGTCTCGGTCGAGATTCGAACAGAGTACCTCTCATACGAGTCTAGAGCGTTACTACTAGGTCTGTGTTTCTTTTTATGTTTCTGTGAGATTTCCAAAAAGACGATGAAGAACGTTTGTGATAGAAGAGCAAATATTTGTGTTCCATTAGATTGCAATACTAAGTGCCTATATCAGAAACACGGAAGGAAACCCACGTCCTGTACTCGATCATTCTGAAGATAATCTTCTGTTGAGTGTTTGATAGCACCACAGAAGAACTTATACTTCAATAATAAATCACGTACTATAATTATTCCTCACAACGCAAACATACAGCGTAACAATTTTAGCGCACTCTCTGGTTACCGTCGTGGCCTATGTTATTGATCTGCTTCGTCCGACTGTGAAATTGGCACAGGATCATATCCCATGGGAAAGGAAAAACTTTATATACGGTGTGTCCAGGATCCGTTAGGACTCATTTTCTTTTAAACTTTGCCCTGCAATGCCATCTGTTGGCGAGTTGTGGCATTAAGGTTCTTGAAGTTTCATCTGTGGCTGTCTCCAATTTAAAAGCGCAAGCATCGCTGCATCATGTGTTCCGACCTTGAATGTAACAGTACTGTTCTGACGCTCGTCGGAAAATGGCGGTTGAATAAAGAGCCAACATCAAATTTTGTTTGAAGTTAGGCAAGACAGCCGGAGAAGCGTACGAAATGAATAAACGTGTGTACGATAGTGACTGTCTGAGTCGCTCGAATATTTTTCGATGGTATGCTGTATGTCCTTACTTAAGCAACACGCCGCGAAGGCTTATGAGATATGGGTGTATTGCTTACGAATATTGAACCCAGATATGAGTTGGATATGAATAGCCGGGTATAGGGCCCGGGTGCTTTATCTTTAGCGAAAGAGACACTGGTATCCATTGGATGCGTCAGGGTACAATGCAGAACCGGTATGAATGTACCAGTGGGAACTGAACTCGTTTTCCAGTCTAAAGCAAATCCATATACTGCGTTTTCTATTAGCAATGCTAATGTGGTCTAGTGGTCAGAGATCCTGGCTACAGATCCAGAGGTCCCTGGTTTGATTCCCGGCGCTAGCAGATTTTCTGATAATTAGTGGGTCCGGAACGGGGTCCGCTCAGCCTCGTGAAAATAATTGAAGAGCTATTTCAAGGAAATAGCGGGTCCGGTCTAGAAAATCGAGATTAAAGACCGTGGGGATCCCTTGCGCTGACCACGTGACACCCTTTATCCGCAAAAGTTGGCACTAACTTCTCCGACAAGCGGCAGTCGCTCGGTCGGTATAGTTCGCTTGTGGACTACAGTCCACGGAGTTGTTTTTTGTTTTATATATGGGACATTGCTAAAGGGTCAGACTTTACAAACAAAATGGTGTAAATCCTTTATGAAATCCAAAATCAGGAAAGGTTAATTACGAAAGATTCACGTGGAGCTGATCTCAGGATCACATATGCCCATAATGAACGTTGCGGGCTGCTGTTATAGGATGAGGTTATTAAAGAAACTCGAACTCTGATTTGCTTCAATATAATTTTATTTGCTATTTTCATCACAGTATTTTTAGTACTGTTATTGACGGGTCATATTTTACAAAATGAAGAAATATGATATGCAAAGGGGTTGTCATGGAGGATTATTTGTATTTAGAAAATGATATGCTACAAATGTGCTGTGTAAGCAGATGGAAAGTTTATCTCTACTATGAGTACTTTCAATGTCCGTCCTCCCCACATAATTCTGGGAGAAGAAAGTAGTCAGAAAGTGCAAAGTTTTCTGCCTTATAATTAATCTTATTTGTTTTCTTTGAACTTGTAATAAGAACTTATGTATTACTGAGTATTTTCCTCCAAAAACTTCTATATTTAAAAATATATTGATAGACATTAAATATTATTGTTACTAAACTACTATTATTGTAACGATTTTCCTTCTTTTTATCAATAGTTTATTATCAGCTCTTAAATTAAAATGAAACTGTCATGTTTGTTGTGATGGCTCAGGATTATATATGTTAGATAGGCCCCTCTAATACATTATTTTAAAACTCAAATGTCTTTTAAAAATGATGTAATAACACGTATTTTATCATTGATGAGGACAGTTTTTTTAAGGACATATGAAATGAGTATGCGTGTTGAGCTCTTAGCACATTGAGAATCCGTCTTAGAAATTTCTGTTCACAATGCTTTTTCCAACTCTTTGGACTGAAGAAGCTGATTCATGTTTTAATCTTCCCATTCTTGTTTATAGCCAAGCGGAATATGTAGTTTCTAATGACTCACGTTGACCATATTGAAAAAAAAACAAGGGGGATCATAGCATATTCTCATGAAAGAAACAGTGAATAACAAATATTACTATTAATTAACTAACAGACTGAACAATGAAATACAAATTAAATTCGACTTAACATCGTACACTAGTTTATATATGTTTTAACGAATTTCACAATTCAATATAATCAGCAAGTTATAAACTCAATTTTTTTAGTTTTCAAGTAAAAAGCATAATTATTTTTGTCATTTTATACCGGAAGTATGTATATTTCTCCTCAAGTCAGTTCGCAAGGTTTCATATCGCCTTACAAAATGGCTCCTTCACTTTAAATCTGTCTGACATGATGACTAAACCTATCTTGGAACACCAAAACATACCCACAAAGAGGGGAAGTGACGTCACCTGCTCTGAAACGTGTTCACTATGGGTAATTGTGTCATTCCCCCCATATGTTATTATCCCAACAAGAACAAAGCTAACTGATTCAGTAAAACTGGGTATGAGTGTGCGCAACAAGTGAATGTCTCTCTTCTTGGGCTAGCATTGCATCACTGAGACCTTGTGCTGGCATTAACACTGCATAAAGCATTATTAAGTAATATTTAAGTGTATTAAAAACTATGACAATTATTAACTAACATGCAATGAAATTAATATCATGGTACTACAAAATGCAATGACATTTTGTATTTGTTAGTAATATTTACAAAAAAAAACTTAATATGAAAACATCGTATAATAAAGTTGAATATTATTTCCACATTTAAAACGTTACATTTTTATAATAAAGTCGTATATAAACGTAACAGTTATACGGAAATTAAAGATTACAAAACATTTCTAAATAATTTCAGGTTTTGGACCCTTTTATAAATAATATCAATTGTCTGTTTTCCAAACTCATCAGTTCATTGTAAAACTGACCTCTAAATGGCAGTCATGAAATATATAATTTGTTTAAGAACACTAGGTTTAAATTATGAAATGATTTGTAATTAAATGCAATATGATATTTCATTCATGAAATTAATAGATCTATATTGATTGGATCATCACGAAAAATTAAGGGTAGAGATGCACTTTAGTTTAATGTTCAAAAGAGTAATTACAATAGCATTACTTCTTATACATAGCTTCAAAGGTGAGACTGACTGAGACTTTATTTACTTCGCAACTGTTCAGGGTAGATGAAGTTGACCGTATCGTCAACGATATGACAGTGACTGGGTACAGAATCTCTTGAACTTAAACATAATGATGAAAAAATCATGGCGGAATAGATACTTCGCCTCACAAAACTAACATTAAGTCGATCAACCATGATGGCGATGATGATGATGATGAGGAGGAGGAGGAGGATGGTGATGGTGGACTAAATATTTGAAGTTATGTGGTCATTACTGATACATGTCATTGTTAACAATTCAATACAATTTCTGTGTTCCAGTTTGTTCAAAAGGAAAATTATTCTTTCCACAACATTAAGTTTATTTCAGCCTTCCTGACTTTACCATGTGAAAGAAAAACGAAACATTTTATTGCAGATTAGAATAGAATATCAGTTAACTTGTAACTAAAATATATGTCTTTCTGTAGATCAATTGTCAGATTTTTGCAATTCTTGTTTATAAATTAATTTTCTATTAACCCTTCAAAGCCCTAGTGGTTCTATATATACCACTGTTTTAATATACTAAAATTGTATTCTGCCCACATAGTGTTTCGTACGATTCTCAGAATAAACAGCGATTGTTCCCCTAAAGGTTAGCAGTTAATTTTTGCGGCTGAAACGTAATGTGTTGTGTATGAGGTACAAGCTGAATTTTTATATATTACTTAAAAGAAAGTCGGTCTTTGAAGGGTTAAAGGAGAATTACTGATCCATTTCCGCGTGTAATTTAATTTACGATTAGTTATATAAATGGTTTTTTCCTTCAAATTTTAATATGATGCTTTGCACATAACTGGCCTATGATTACTGATATAAAATCTCACATTCTCAATATTTATTTATTTTTAATTTTTTCTTCTTATCTCATTCATCCATGCCGTTTCTCTTTCCGATAAAAGAGAAACTTTTGGGGAACCAATCGTATAATTAATGTCTTTATTTCACACGAAGATGTAGTCGGGTCCCTTCTTGCACGTAGGACACGACGCGTCGTGAACACTGCTACCAGCGTCTAGTCGGATCCACTTTCCGTGACAGTGTGGGGCCGACAGTGCGGTCCAGCGTGTCGCCCTGTCCTCCACTCCGTGGCCCGCACATCGATACCCTAGGTTCTTACGTAGCGCTTGCGTTTCACACCTCACGCACACTCGCTCACCTTTGAACAAAAACATGAAATAGTAAACGCTAGTTATTAAACCACTAACCCCAAAGCCCCCTTCCCTCCCCAACCAAAATCATGCAGTTTAGTAAAGAAATGCATTCCAATTTAGAGCACATCAATCCGTTTTCACACCAGACTAGATTTGAATCGATACTGAACCGAATGAAATGTCTCCGACAAGTTTTATTGTAGCATTCAACGCCAAATTTTATCCATATTCGTTAAGTGGTTCCAGGGATGAAATTTACTGATAGACAGATGAAAATTCTCAATTACATATTAATATGTGTAGAGAACGCATGACGCAAGAAAATCGTAAGGAAGTCGTAGATTTATTATTAGGGTTTTAATGAAGATGTTTCAGATACCGAGGTTAAAATTCGAACGATGTTGAAGACGATCACAAGGGAACAATACGAGTATGTATAGATTTGGAATGAACCCTTTCACTTCTGTTTCATTAATCTTACAGATTTCTTGGGCGGGAAGATCAACGCGTCACAAGCCCGCTAAGTACACAGGACAATACAAACAGAGAATAAATACAGACAGACATCCATGCATTGAGTGGGATTCGAACCCACGACTAAGATATTTCATACCTTAGACCACGCGGCCGCTGTGACTGGCAAAACTATCCTTGGGCTTAATTAATTAACCACCACGCCATGAAACCACGTGGCGGAGTGGAGGTATAGCTCCACCATTCTTAACCTCAGCATTAGTTTGAAGTGAATAGTCAACTTTACGCCCTGGCAGCTTTACCCCGGAAGAAACAGCCACTTTTACCCATTGCATAAGAGGGTGGATGTGCCCCAGAGCGGGTCTGGACGTTGTGGAGAAGAGAAAAATCTCTTTCCGGGGAAGTTAAAACTCAGCCAGGACATCAGACAATCCGACAGAAGTTCGACTTTATTAGGCCTGCGTCACGAACAGATGTCTCAAGCGGGACGCTAAGCCAGTGAACAAACAGATGGGATGTCAAAGTCGAGGTCCCGACGGCAATGCCGTGCTACGTTGTGTGCTACAGATTCATCGACGTTAAGACAAGAGAGCACCAAGCTTTATGTTTCGTCGAAATGTCGGCAAATTTTACCAGACTACACGACTTCGAATCCAAGAAAACAGTACTCTACAAATTATTTTGGTCTGAACAGTTCTATCTTCTGGGATATAACACCGTGTAATCTACTGAAGTCTACAGAGAGTTCGGAGGAATCTGTCGCCTCCATCTTGTGAGCTGAAATGTAAGTTGTGTAAGAAGCAATCAACAAGCAAAGCAGACTCCCTGCTTTGTTCTTGTTTGCTTTACTTTGCCACATTGAAAACAGACGAGACGTGTTCCTCTGAAATTTCGGTTGACTTTCAAAGGACCACACGGTGCAGTACCCAAAAGATGATGTCTTCATGATCACCGCTCTGAGAACCTCAGAGCTTACGTGTGTAGTCTCCCTTTACATACATCTGACTTTACTTGGCGTCCCATCTTAACTCTTTCAGTGGTGCTTTCCGCCAACAAGTCATATAGTTCCGTGGTGATGCTGCTTACTTATCAAATAATAAATGAGTCCGTGCCGGAAGATTCTGTGGGTTTTAAACGAAGAATCTTACTGATATGTTGGGTTTTTGGACTTTATCCATCGTCCTGGTTTTTAAGATAACAAAATAAAAACACGACATTTCGGAAACTGGATCTGTTTCCGTCCTCAGGTGAAGGAAAACACCTATTCAGTTGGGTCCGTTAGAAAGAGCTAGACCAAGTCCAGTGATTGAGGCTAGCTCTTTCTAACGGACCCAACTGAATAGGTGTTTTCCTTCATCTGAGGACGGAAATAGATCCAGTTTCCGAAACGTCATGTTTTTATTTTGTTATCTTAAAAACCAGGACGATGGATAAAGTCCAAAAACCCAACATATCAGTGTGTTATACACCATCGTCAGAATCCTATAGTAACTACGAAGAATCTTGTATGCAGTATGTAAAGAACTGGCATTACAGCATTCAAATACACCAGCCCTCTGCAATGGAACTATATAAGGCGTTCCCTTTCCGGTCAGTAACAGTTCTACAGCTGGTCAGTAATGGCCCTTACCTTCTCTAAGGGACGAGAAGTTGGGCTCTTTTCGGCAGGCTTTGGACGCCTTCAGGACTTCAAATTCCACACAGTACCTGCAACAACAAAGAAATTGCTGAGTGTCCGTTAGCCATGTTCATAAGACTCCTGTTGTTTATGATTTTATAATTAAAAACAAGCCGAAAAGTTCACCTTTTGTTTGTTGATTTATAAAGATTATTATGATTTCTTTGTAAAAAGATATGGGAATCCCTGAAAAGAAAAAGATGTGGGTAAAGAAACAAATGAAATGAAAATTGAAGATATGCATAGCTTCAAAGGCAGTGATCATTAGTCTACACAATAAAACCATGAATAACCGACAAACCATAAAAATGGAGAAATAACATTCCTGTAAGTAATACAGAAACGCTAAGATATACTTTATATACGTAGTTTACAAATGAAAGTAACTCCTTATACAAGAAAAACTTGAATGTAAATATTTCACAAGAAGAAGTGGGCATTTATAGAGCAATAAAAAGAAAAAAAAGTAAATAAAAAATAAGGAACATTTCTGGAGTAAGAAACTTTCAAGAGATGTTGAGGACAAAAGACTCCAATATTGAAGATGATTAAATACAAACGACGTAAAAGATGAAATTAAAAAGCAAAAGTCAAAGTCAGAAAGATGGCACTGTATGAGGATTCGTATTGGTGGAAAGCGAAATACAGAAGCGTGAACAGTTCCGAGAACTTAAGGAAATCAAACAAAGCGCCAGTATTAGAATTATGTCTCATGAATTTTGGAAGCTATAGGCTAGTTCACAAACTGACTAGCAAAAGATACACCAGAATATTATAGGAACTCTGATGAAATGAAAGTAAAGCCGAGGGATCAGCTGGACTTTTATTAAGCAATTTGATGTAGCCTCCTGTGATATCCTTCCTCTCGACTTGCATCACAATAGTCTCCTCAGCACTTTGTTGCAGACACCCTCAAGCCCTAGCTTTCCTTCAATAGACCAAGTTTCACATTCACACAAAACGATTTTCTTGAACAGCACTGCTTAAACGGATTACTGCTTTAATCTCTCAAGGCTATCATCATCGCGTTGTCATCAGTACTGCTGACGTTAATACTGCTGCAGTGATCTTCTCAGTATCTGACAGCAACCTCAAGCACCGCTGATTAATCACCACGTTGAAGGAGCTGCTTAGTTTATACTAATCACCAAATGTTATCATCTGGCACTGCAGATATGATGAATTAATGTAAAGTTTTGGTCACAAAGGCCACACAGGAGACCTAGGCGTATAGGCAAGGATAATATTAAAGTAGATCTTGCAAACATATCATGAGGCTGTCGAGAGTCAGTATGGTGTCCGGAGGGGGTTTCTGTGAAGACGGTAAGGATCTTCCGAGTTCGATAAAAGCCAAGACGGCGTGCCATATCTCAGTTACCGGGTTCCCAACTCAGCGGCCCGTGTTAGATCCCAGTTCAGAACATGTGGGATCTGTGTTGCACAAAGTGATATTGGGATGTTTTTTTTTTTCGAGTAATTCGTTTCCCCTGCCAATCCTTAAGCGGCCCGGGATAGTTCAGTCGGTATAGCGATGGTCTATGATCTGGACGGCCGGGGTTCGATTCTCGGTATGGGCAAGAAATTTTCTCTACTTCAGAGCGTTCAAACAGGCTTTGGGGTCCATCTAGCATCCTATCCAATGGGTACCAGGTGCTCCTTCATTCGGGATAAAGCGACCGGAGCGTGAAGCTGACCTCAGTCTAGTGTCGACATCAAGAATGGTGGACATATACCTCCACTCTCTCATACTGTATGTCTTCATGGCATCAATCTTAATTGATTAAGCATGGGTAAACTTTACCTTTCTATGTTTTACCTGTCAGTTCTCAAGTCACCGTTTCACGTTCTTTATTTATCCCATCGACTGCCTCTGTGGTCTAGTGATCAGTTCCTGGCTACAGATCCAGAGGTACCGGGTTCGATTCCCGGTAGTGGGTCTGGAACGGAGTCCACTCAGCCTCGTGGGGGTAACTGAGGAGCTATTTCAAGGAAATAGAGGCTCCGGTCTAGAAAACCGAGATTAATGGCCGTGGGGATCCTTTTCGCTGACCACATGACACCCTCTATCCGATAAAGTTGGCAAGCGGCGGTCGCTCGGTCGGTATGGTTAGTTTGCGAACTACAGGTCACTGAGTTTTATTTATCCCATCACAAGTACCAGTATATTTGGATACTTCGCATGTTAAAGAAAGAATCAAGGAATTTCTCGATTCCCAAGAGATGTGCTACTCGAGAGTTATGTCATTCTATATCAAAATTTTGACTCATGACATGAGCGCAACTTTTGACTGCTAACGGTTGTACTTCTGCCTGTTTGCGTGCGCCAATCCTCGCAACTGGCAGGACCCTGCTTCACAGCTGCACTTTTTGCTCTCCGCTCATAGAAAAATTAAATCGATTTAGTGCCGCTGGTTCACTTCTCTTCCTCTGCAGTAAATCGGTTTATGACAACCTCAATATATAATCCAACATGACAACTACATTATAGCCAGAAAGCTGTTTTGCTCTTCTCTGCGACATAATATACAACAGTATAGGGGTAGTCACAGGGGGCGGGGGAGCACTGGAGTTTATGTGGTAGTAAATTTTCGTATCCTGGCCACGTTGCAACTTGTCAATGCCTGTGCGTGTCAATATAGAGCAAGGTTGCGTAGAGTCACCCTTGTGGAAAACTCGCCAACTCATACCACACACAAACGACATTTAGAAGAATTTTCATTTTTTGTAATAATTCTGATGAAAACCATTTCTCTTTATGTTCCTCTGAAGTTTCATACCGAAAAGTCAAAGGATTAATTACTAGCAAAAACTCGATATTTCCTGGATGAAATCGGTAAAACACATAAGCTCAAGGGCCAATAAACTCTCTTTTATGTTCGTTACCTCAAAATAAAATTTAGAATATGTCTCATAAAGTAAAATAAGCTAAGCTTATAAACCAGAAATTCAGCATAAATTTAAATTGCTTAGGGCCTATAGCCAGTGTCCTGGTACAGAGCTGTAAAAACAAAAATAACCCAATAATCAAGCAATCAAAACGCCTAAGACGCGAAACTGCAGCTACGCTATTGCGCATGTGTAGTGAAGCTATACCAATGTTGGATACACAAAGAGCCCGAACAACTTTTAACAAGACAACGCTATCATGCAGTCAGCTGTGAGTTATCAAAATAGTCATGGCCTTTGTAATGTAATCACAGGGTTATCTTTAGTTGAAACGAGTGAAGGAACAGATGCCGAATCTAAGGTTTTCCTCTTTATTTCCTTCTCTCGCATGAGAAACAGATTAAAATCTAAAATATCAGATTTTCAAGCTGTGGTCTATTATTCAAGATAGTATACATCATTAGTGTTCTCAAACACATCTTTCTTTCACCTCCCTCTTTCTCAAACTTCTTTTCAGCAAGTCACTGGCTTCTAAACTTAGTACAAATTATCTCTCGACACGTGCCTAAATTCATGTTGGTAACCCTGAAAGAATCGCCGACACACTTATCTCTCGAAGACCTCGACTCATAACAGAACAAGAAAACACGTGTTCGAAAACCAACTGCCTGAAACAGGATCAGACGCTGGCAGTCAAGATTTCTCCACCATTTTTGGAACCAGTGTTCACAATCTGAGCCAGATAAATCCAGTCCATACCACACCATCCTTTATCTTTAAAATCTTAATATTATTCTCTTACTTACGTCGTCTTCCTAGTAGAATCATTCCTTCTGGATTTCCCATCCAAACCCTACATTCATTCCTTTTCTCCTCATGTGAGTTACATGCCCTATCCTGAACCATATCCTTAACTAGTTTAATTCAACCCATACCCACGAAACCTATTTCTTCGAGATATATTTTAATATTTTCCTGCCACATGCAACTCCAAGTTATCTCATCCCATCAGGTTTCAGAACTAAAACTATGTAGTCCTGCGTAAATCTTGCAGTATCCACGCGTGCTACACATTCTGCCCCACGTCCTCTTTGATATAGATGCCCTAACAATATTTAACAAAGAGAATTAACTGTGAAGCACCTCGCTGTGCGAGTGCTTTCAACCCCATTTATTTCCTCTCACTCAGATCCAAATATAAGGGTAGTAGATGAAATTAAGCCATGCACTGTCTTCGCTCGCTCGGAAGCCGGGATCATGGGTTCGAATCCCACTCAGGGCATGGATGTTTTGTGTGCGTTTATCTGTGTTTTTGTACAGGTAGAGGCCTTGCGACGATCCGATCACCCGCCTTAGGAGTCCTACCGTATGTCTAAGATCTAGTAAACCGAAGTTAAACGGAGAGTTTCATGGAGGTAGGCCTAGGTCCAAATGATGGCTGTAGCGCCAATGAAAAAAAGAAGAGATAAAATTAAGCCACTGCAGCCTACACATCCACAACCATTCCAGTTCATTATTCACCAGTCATCCTACTACTGGAAGCTATTCACCAGTCATCCTACTACTAGGAGTTATTCACCAGTCATCCTACTACTGGGAGCTATTCACCAGTCATCCTACTACTGGGAGCTATTCACCAGTCATCCTACTACTGGGAGCTATTCACCAGTCATCCTACTACTGGAAGCTATAATAATCTGAGCTACAGACAGCGCTGTCAAAATAACCAGGAACAGATCATTGAATTCCCTCTTTCGTCCCTCTCTTCTCTCTGTTTTCTTTCTACTTCCACCTTTATTAAAAGTTCTGTCTTCTTCAGTATAATGCCTTCTAGTACACTGAAAGGCAACCAAAGTTTCGGAGAAACATGCCTCCTTCGTCTTCAGGTTCGAAGCTTAAGCCAAGCAAGAAACCAGCATGAAGCAGCCAGCAAGATTTACGGCGTTGTATCGCAGAAGATAGAAGGACGGTTCATAACCACAGCTGTGAGAACTTAAAATCCTACAGTCTTCCTTTATTATTTCTATCACTGTCTCTTTGTTACTTTACTCTATTACCTTCTTTCTTTCTTTCGGACATATAGACAGCTTCTGTGAAGGTCTCTTGAGTCCAGAAGTGAACCTGGCGTTGTTATTTCCTAATG